ATAAGTAGCAGCAAATTTATTTTGATGGCGATATACTTGTGAGCAAAGGGAGTGGAGTTTTTACCGATCATAAGCGGAACGGCTGAGAGACCAGACTTCTCAGAAGGTATTCTGCTGACACAGCAAACAAACCGCAGAGACTAAGGAACACCACTTGTAACAATCGCAAGTTAATACCTCTTCCAAAGACTTATCATCGCATGCTGCTTCTATGTTAGCGAGACACTGGATACGATCGGAATTACATGGAAATTTGGCTAGCTATTTAGGGGATCTACCTTCAACTTCAACGCTGATCTTCAAAATAGAAGGCAATGAGACAAATGGAATCCATATGCTGCCCTCATCCCCTCCTCCCACCCCAGACACCAATGCTAGCGAAGCAAACTTCCACATACACCCATCCTGATACAGAGTAAAAACAGCTGTTTGATTCAAAGGAACCCACTATTGAATCATGTCCTTGGAGATGGAAATAATGGGAAAAGCAGCAAAGGAGACAGAAAAATGCTTTTTTTATAATAATAATTTAGACCCAAGAAAAAAATGTATTCGGAAAAAGCAATGATAGGTGAAGATAAAATGAGGTAGAAATGCAGAAAGAGGGAGAGACGTGAGCAACTTACGAGGGCATGAGAATATCCCACTCCGCCACCACCACCAACTTGAAAGGACGAAAGGAGTGAATACAATGATGGCAATGGAAGCAATGGCACAAGAGACACTGTTCACTTACGATAGGGAAGGTTCACACTTATCTGTTCCCATTTTTTCATTTATAAATATAATATGCTTGTTAAGCAGGCAGTAAATTAGAAGCAGTTTCATTATAAGTCAAGGGACTAAGGTGACAGTGGATCCTTGTCACACTCGTGTCATCTTTATTGTCACGCAATTTCACAACAGTAAATGTGAAGTAATGAGCAAATTGTGGAGTCGCTGCTGCTTTAAAAATGGATACGTGTGTTGCAAGGCATCAGCCTCAGGATTTGATGGGATTAGCACTTCAACTTGTGTCATCGTTATCAAAGCCAATGGATGTACCAGCATTGAGAGGGCTCGATGGACTCCTTTGCATCACAGGTGAAATGCTCGCTTCACCACCCGTTTCTGGCAAACAAA